TAAATTTCCTGGAACTCTGAATTCATAGGAGAGGAATATTTCTTTAAATTTATTTTTACATGGTGTATATTACATGAATGCGTTCTCATTGTGAAATAAGGCAAAATAACAGACATATGGAGAAAACAAGCTTTTATCTCAGCCCTCCAAATATAATTTCCTTCCCCAGAGGTAACTTACCCCAATTAAGAGTTTGGTGTTCAGCCTTCTGGGCTGGTGCTGTCCAGAACTTCCTGTGATGATATAAATGTCCTTTTTCAGCACTGTCCAATATAGTATCCACTAGCCAAACACTGTTATTGAGCAGCTGAAACCTGACTAGTGTAACTGAGAAACTGTTTTATATTTCAATTTTAATTAATTATAATTTGAATTTAAATAGCCATATGTTGACCATGGCTGCCATATGAGCACAGTTATAAGCCATTTCTACATAATTACCCCCCTTCCATGGATTTAGGGTTGCACTGAGCTACGTCCCTAGCCCTTTTTTATTTTTAGTTTGAGATAAGATCTCACTAAGTCACTCAGTTGCCCAGTCTGGGCTTGAAATTGACATCCTCCTACCTCAGCCTCCCAGAGTCCTGGATTTATAGACATGTGCTTCCACACCTGGTTTCTCCCCCTCTTTTTATCATAAGTGGCCTCATGTTGTATAGCATGTATACATATTGTTTTGTGACTTGCTTTTTGCATTCAATGAAATATCTTAGAAATCATTCCCTGTCAGTACAGATATACAAGGAGTGATCAAAAAATACAGAGACAGTTTAGGTTTTAAAACTTTATTACAATAAAAGACACATTGTAATTAATCCCCCTCAAAATATTCCCCCTTGCTTTGAACATACTGTCTGATGTCTTCCTGAAATTCTCAATTTATGGTTTTGATTGGCCTAATTGTCATCAGTCAGTGATGCATGTTGCTTAAGTACAGGTTCTACCAGCCATTCTTTGTGCTCAAGTAATATTTACATTGTATGTTTTATATGGTACCTAATAGCTTTTGCTTTGAGTAAATATTTGACAAGATCTAACTGAAGAGATTCTGCAAATGAAATGCCCAACATATAATGTCTTTCCCTTTACAAAGCATGTTAGAGTGTCGGGGATTTAGCTCAGTGGTTTCGCTGCCTGCTGCGCAAGCGCAAGGACCAGAGTTCGATCCCTGGTACCAAAAAAAAGAAAGCATGGTAGAGCCAGATGTGGTGGCACAGGCCTATAATCCCAGCATTCTGGGAGGCTGAGGCAGGAGGATTGCAAGTTCGAGCTCAGCTTGGGCAGTTTAGCAACTTAGTGATAATTTGTCAAAAAAAAGGAGGAGGCTGGGGATTTAGCTCAGTGTGAAGGTCCTGGGTTCAACCCCCTAGAACAAAATAAAGCCTGTTGGGGAATATGGCTTGGTATGGTATTATAATACACTTTATATAACCAAAACTTGCTTGACAAACAGGCAGCAAATTCACATTCAATGACTGTGTTCCTGAACTCCCATATTAGGTAGAAGTTTTATCATGACCTGGCTCCAAGTCTGTGTCTTGCACATGTGAGGTCCAGGGCACTGGGTCAGGGCTTCTGTAACCTTTAGCATCCTCACTGTCCTGCTAAGCACAAATTTTACGTACTTTGTCAACCTTGAGTTTGAGATGTGACTCTGCGGGGGGGGGGGGGATAATCTATCCTCTGATGACCCTCACCAGTCCAGAGGCTTGGTTTCTATAATTTGCATGTTGAAAAGAATAAGGCTTTCATTCTAAACATGAAATTATTGAAAACTGAGCATACCTTTTGAAACTAATACCTTCTCCCATTCTAAAAGGGCTGCCTTCACTGTGGAAGATTGCTGCCCCACAGCCACTTCTGTTTATTCCTTTATTATTTCCCTCCTTTATTTATACACCCTCCGAGCATCTAGCATCAATTAAAATTGTAGCATGTGCTAATAAGGACTAGAAAATGTGATCTGGGTGACTGAGAGGCTGAAGGTTGTCATTAACTACATGTGCTTCATCTGACCCATTTCACTAAGTCTGAGTAAAATCATGGTAACATGGTTTTATTTCCTCAATTAATTGTTTGGGTTCCCCCTTCTCTAATTACCAGGAATTTCAGCATCTCTTCTCTGAGGTCTCTCCATCCTAATTGTGTGAGAATCCTGAGTGTTTCCTTAGTTCAGAGGGAGCCAAAAAGGCAACTGAACCTGAGGACTGTGCCAGTGCTGTGGCTCTTGGTAGCAATCGGTGTCACTGTGGGAGACAGGTCCTGTGCAATTCAGCAGAAATATCGCCTACCTCGTGGAGCTGTGATAAAAGTTAAGTAAGCAATTACATTTAGAGAAAGATAGATAGATAACACAAGTACTAAGTAGGGGCTTCAGATTTAGCTATTGTATTAACTGGGCCCCAGCTTTATACCTTATGCAGTGCCTAGAGCAGAATATCCCCGGAAACTTCCAGCTTTGGCAAATGGTGCGGAATAGGTGGTGGCCTTGGTCTGCCCGCTGCCTACCAGGTCCTTGGCCCTCTTACTTTCAGTTGTTCTGAGCTTAGTCTGCCTGTTTATGTGGAAGAGGCAGAACTTGAAGAGCATAGAATTTCTTATAAATGAAATGACTTGATGGGCCGGGGATTTAGCTCAGTGGTTCCGCCACCTGCCTCACAAGTACAAGGTCCCGAGTTCGATCCCTGGTACCAAAAACCAAACCAAAACAAAACAAAAAAACAGGAAAAAAATGACTTGATCTGGCCCCAAAAAGGAGGAGTTTAAAAATATAGTAATCTGGGGTGTTTGGACTGAAAAAAAAAATCGCCTCAGGTCCCAGGGCCAATTGGCCCTGACTAGGTCTTGCTGAATATAGAGCTACACTCTCAACTCAAAGGCTATTCTGCCTTCCTTGCTTTGGGAGACAATGTTCTGGAAAGTAAGGCTGTGGCTTATTTATTTTTTCATTCTCCCCATTCCAAGCACACTTCCTTGTATATAACAGGGAATATTCCCTTTCCACATCAGTTGCTGTCAAAGACACTTACTGTGCACACACAAGCACATGCATGTGCTCAGGAATTCTCTCTGCCCTCCACCTCTTCCATTCTCCCCCTTTCTTGCTTCTGAGCTACAACAATTAAGACCAAAATACGCAGCATACATAAATCTTCTCTTCACTTTGAGTAACCACTGTTGTTTTACAAATTCCTCTATCTTTTCTTTAATTACCACCCTCTCGAATACACCTTTCTTGGAAAATGGCAACAAACTTATCTCTTTAATAAACTTTGTGACTGGCACATAAAAGATCTCCAAATAGTAATTTATTTTAGAGCATGTGAAAAAGATTCACTGTCTATTTATAAAAAAGGTTAATGAATCATTAATATAAGCTAGTCTCATTTGCCAGCCAGTTTACCCATTTGGGTTGTGTCCTAAAGTCCATTCATCACAGTTTGCTTGTTTCTATAGGGAACTACATTTTATATTGTTCTATCAAAACATGCAGTATTGTATATGTTATATAACAATTAGTAATGACAGCAAATAATAATAGATACAATTTATTGAGTACCAAGTATGTTATACATGTGATCTCTGTTTTTCACAACTCTGCAAGATAATTATTCATTTTACAGATGAAGTTGAGGTTCAAATAAGTTAAGGAACTTGCTTTTAAGAGCACCCAAAATCAAACACATTTCTCAACCCATCTCTAGCTCCTGCTAAAGTCATGATAGACCATTCATAATGTTTCTTGCCACATCTCCTGGTTGATAAGTCTGGCCAGTCAGATTCTGCAGTAAGAAATTGTTTTGCAGTGCTGGGGTCAAACCCAGGGCCTCCTGCATTCTACCACTAAGCTACACCCTAGTCCTACCTTAGAAATGTGAATCTGGAAACATGGAAAGAAGCAGTAAGTTCGTAGGAACAGGAATGTGAAGGAGGCTGAGAAGGCTATGGTTCAAGCTGAAGTTCTAGGGAACGGAAGCCAGCAGAGTCTTTAATGTGGAAGGATGTTAGGTAAATGGGAGTGGGCAGAAAGAATCATAGGGTCAGTGTGGAGCACTTGACACTCTGGACTGCCTTCCTGCCCCTTTCCTCCTTTTTTGCAAACTCATTGCCAGAGTAGCCCTAAAATAAACCCTTCATCCCTTAAGCTAACTTAGTGTCAATTCCTTTAACTAGAAGAACCAAGTTAAAATACAAAGTCAGTAAGTGCTGTAAAGGGGATTTGAACCCTGGTTTTGTGGGCAGTTTCTACTCTTGTCACTGTATTCCTTCGCCACATTATAAATGCTACTCTGGTCCCCCAGAGCCTACAAGGTCGCCTTAATTTATCCAAAAAAGAACTAAATAATGGACTTCAGTTCCCCAAATCCTTGTCCCAAGCCTTGGTTTGCTTCCAGAGTCCTGAAGAAGAGGGTGGGGGTTAAGAAAGTCTCAGGCAACTGGGAGGTCTCCAAACAAAACTGGGCAGGACTCCCACTTCCAGTGGGGAAGGTGCTACAATGGGGAGAGAGGACGGGTTAGGGACACAGATCAGTGGAGACCAGGGGCTCTTCAGGGACAGGGACCAGTCTTAACCCCACTTCTAGTCTCAGCTTCTAAGGAAGCACCTGACATATATTTGGATGAATGAATGACTGAATAAATGAATGGAAGATGTGGGTCACAGTCCCTGCTCAAATGGATGGCTCCCTCCTCGGTCCAATCTTCTCATGTTAAGGAACACCTGTCTCCATCTCTAAGAAACGATTCATGCCGCGCTATGAGTAACCTTCACAGTGACTAGTCAACTTTAGCTTTAAAATGCTATAGTGGTGACTGTGGTAATGACAGGGCTCAAAGACTTACAAATGGACAATTCTGGATTGCATTTACCCTGTTTACAAAAACACCACTCGCTTTGTCTTCCTCTGTCTGCAGAGTGAGGTTTTCATTTTAAGAGGCTGACTAAAAAATGCAGGGCCACTTCCTGGGCAGGCTTCCAAGTGACTACATCTTTCTCACAGCGTTCCCCAGAGTCCCAGCCCAAGCTGCCTGGGGCGGGGCCTGCAGCCATTGGTGGTTGGTGAAGCTACCACAGTAACAGTTATCTGCAGCCCACCAGAATTGCTGTGCTTTTAGGCCCTCCCAGGGTCCAGATAACGGCCTTGCCCTCTGCACTGAAGAGACGTCAGAGTTTGTGATTGGCCAGGCTGGTGTGTGTGAAATACAGGAGATGTCGTGCCACGCTTCCGAGTATGACGTTCCTTTCAGCCCAGTACCCCAGGTGTGGGTGAGTCTAAATGTTTGAAGACTACCCTCGTTGGTAGGGAAATTTTCAAAGCTGGGCATTTTGACTTCCCAAGGGCATGATTTAGCATATTTTTAAAAAAAATCCTGCTGAGCCTCAGTTGCCTTCTCTGTGAAACAGGGATAGGATTATCCCGTACTTTAGAAAGATAGAAGCATGTATCCATCAGAGAGTGTTCTGAGACTTAAAAGCGATAACAGATCCACAGCATCTCTCTGGTACCTGATATATGTTAGACACTGAAAAGCTCTTATTATTTCTGTAGCACCAATACAAATGGGGGAGGGGGGAGGTTTAGTGACTGCCCAGTCTTGATTTCTAGCAGTACGATATTTCTCTGAGAGACTCAGCAGACATTTTACTTCTTAATCCTATCTGTATAGCCAAAAGAAATCAAACTTCAGGGGAAGATAGTGCTGGAAAATGGGGACGTGCATCAGACTACATTCCCTTTCTCTTTTTCCCTTCTAGACCCTGACTGCACCTGCCCCATTTGCAGATGAAACCAGCTGCCAGTGCCAAGCACCCCATGAAAAACTGACCATTGCTCAGGCTCGCTTAGGAACGCCAGGTGAGGCTGCACTTCCTGCTCAACAAGTGGGTCCTGTCTCAGTATTGCAAGTTTCAGAAAGGTGTCATTATTTGAGCAGCACTTGCTTTCAATCAGATAGTTGACTGTAGAGGCATCAAACATTAATGGTGATAAACTAGACTGCTCAAAGCAGCCATATAAAAGATGCAACAGAGTACCCAAGTTTGGGCCTTAGCTCCACCCTTTATTACTTCTACAGCTTTGAGCAAGTCATCAAAGAGAGCTGAGTATGTTTCTTCATGTGCAAAGCAGGGATTGTGTGTGTGTGTGTGTGTGTGTGTGTGTGTGTGTGTGTGTGTGTACTTGGCATTGAATCCAGGGGCTTGCATAATCCAGGCAAGTGCTCTACTACTGAGCTACATCCCCAGCACCATCCCCTCATTTTTTGGAGACAGGATCTTGCTAAGCCACTAAGTTGCTGAGGCTGTCCTTAAACTTGAGATCCTCCTGCCTCAGCCTTCTGAGTAGCTGAGACTACAGACTTGCACCACTGCTCCTGGCTCCACAAGGCTTTTGTGACAGCTAGATTCAGTTGAAAGTACCAAAGCATTTTTTAAACTATGAAGAGCTTTATGAACCTAAGCTACTATAATTATTCTTCTTTAAAGTCCGTCTCTTTAAAAGTTTCAAGTACATCTTAAAAAGAGTGGGCTTTCCCACAGAAGTTTGTTTATGCATTCATGGATAGTGAAGAGTTTTAAAAAGAATCATGATGTACCATTTCTGTCTCCCAAGGGCTTTCATGATAACTAAAGAGACGAGACAATTAGATAGGAAATAAAAATCACAAGTAGCATGTATGCATATGCTTACGGGCTAAATCCTTCGACACAGATAGACGATAGCTGACAATTTCGAGAAGGGTAGATTCATTTGGCCTGAGGTGGTCAGGGAAGATTTCAGAAAGGGAACAGAACAGAACTGATACTTTGGGGAGAAGTAAGATTTAGACTATGTGGGCAGAAAAATGGAAAAGTATTTCAGGAGGGTGCAACAGAAACAGTGCAGGTGCAGAGACAGAGAGAGTGGGAGTAAAAGAGTGTCATTCCGGTTGAGTCATTTTTGATAATATAACTACATGGTTTCCACTTGCCATTGTAAAAAACAACCCAAATGGAGAAGGATCCATGGGGGAAAGGACAGTTTGCTTAATAATAATGGACAGGTATTAAGTGCTTACTATGCACTAAGGTCTTTATATGTATTGTGTCACTTCACTGTCACATCTCTATACAGTTAGTACTTTTAGGGTTACATAGAAAAGGAAATGAAGGCTCAGAGAACTTTGAACCTGCACAAGGTCATCCAGCTAGTAGGTGGTGGTGGTTCTCACACTACAGTGTGCATGTTGGAGGACTGTTAAGACACAGACAGCTGATTCCATTCAAGTGGGGTGGAGCCCAAGAAGGTGTACCACTAACAAGTTTCCAGGCAAAGGAAGGGCATGGTGGTATAGACCTGTAATCCCAGCTTCTTGGGTGGCAGGAGGATTGCATGTTCAGGGCCAGCCTGAGCAATTTAGTGAGGCTCAAAATAAAAAACGAAAAAGATCAGTGATGTGGTATAGTATTTGGTTGGCATGGGTTCAATCCTCAGTACAACAACAAACAAACAACCCCCACAAATTCCTCAGGTGCTGCTCTACGGACCGCACCTAGAGAACTACTGTTGAGTGGTAAAGTTTGGATTTGATCTCAAACCTGTTTGTGCAGAGCTTGACCTCTTCTTGTCTTTGACACTCCACTTCTCTTTGAGAATAGATTTCAAGCTTGGCATGGCAGTGCACACCTGTAATTCTAGCACTCTGGGAGGCTGAGGCAGGACAATTATGAATAAGGTCAAGCCCAGCCGGGGTAACTGGATGACCCTGTCTCAAAAGCAAAAGAAAACAAAAACAAACAAAAATCAAGGCCAAGGGACATAGCTCAGTGCAAAGGCCCAAAGGTCTTAGGCTCAATCCCAAGTACTGGGGGAAGGGAGAAAGCAAGCAAGCAAGCTATCAGGAGAGTGAAGTGAGGAGCAGGGTAGGAAAGCTGTAAACTTTTTCATGAGCTTCTTTTAAGACAGGCAACAAGAAACTTGAAGAGATAGCTCAGAGCAGTTGTCTCCAGACTTTAGTGTGTAAAGAATCACCTGGTAAGCTTGTTAAAGAAGTAGATTCCCAGCTCTGCTCTCCACATCCGCAGGGCAGGGATGAGGGCTGGGCACCTGTACTTTTAAAAAACAGCCTGGATGTTTCTGAAGTTGGTGGCCATACACTGAGAAATACTGACCCAGCAATAAATCCAGGGATGCCAAATGAAAGTCCAGGTATGTGTTAGCTTTCTGTCACTGTCACAAAATACAGTGGAACCTTGGTTCATGAATGCTTTTGTTTGCAAACAATTTGGTTCACAAACAAAAGCATTTGGCAAAATTTTGTTTTTGTTTGTGAACTCTGCATTGGATGACAAACATGACTGCAGCCATCTTTCCCACACAAACACAAACATGGTCATCTTTTCCAAAATTGTGGTACAAATTAAGTTTGTGAATCGAAGTACCACTGTACCTGAGATAAACAACTTAAAAGGAGGAAAAAGTTATTTTGGCTCACAATTTCAGAGGTTTCAGTCCATGGTCTCTTGCCCCCCCTGGATTTGGACCTGTGTTGAGGCTGAACATTATGGCAGCAAGTATGTCGTGGAGCAAAGCTGCTCACATCATGGCAGCTGGAAGTGAGAAAAAACAAGAGGAAAGGGCAGGGGTCCCAATATCCCTTTCAGGGGTACTCCCCCAAGGACTGGACTTCCTCCAATGAGGCTCTACCTCTTAAAGTTTTCACCTCCTCCCAATAGTGCCTTTAGCTGAGGACCAAGCCTTTGACATTTAAGATCCAAACCATACCAAGGTGGTTACAAAGAAAACAGATTTGACCTAAAGTTAAAGATGAGCTTCAGGTTCAGGCAGAAAAGGATTTTTTTCTGGGGAAAAGGAAAGAAAATTAAACTTACTTATATCCACTTGGTGTGATGCTTTGTACTCTGTGTCTCATTTAATCTTTGCAAAAACCACGTGAGAGGGGTATTATTGTGTCATTTCTACAGAGGAAGCAAATGAGACTGAGAGAACTGAAAAGTAACTTGTCAAAGGAGGTTGTAGCTGGCTGGGTAGAGCTGGAATTCAACCTCAAACCCTTTCTTTGTCCATCACAAAGGGCTGCCCTGGTCCTCAGCTAAGTGAAAGCATGCTAAGGCTTTGAGCTGAAGGGTGAAAGGAGCGTGAACAAGACAGATGAATAATGTCCACATGTAACAATAAGTTGGTATATCTGTGTTTCTTTCATTCCATGGTGCCTCTCTCTCTCTCTCTCTCTCTCTCTCTCTCTCTCTCTCTCCTTTTATTCTTGAAATGAATTTGGTAAAGAGAAGAAGGGACCAGGTTCCTCTTTTTTGTTTTTGATCCTGTCGAGTTTTGCAAGTCTGGAAATTGCTGACACACTACAATTTAAAAAAGCGAACTCACTGCAAAATCAACTCTGCAAATACTCTTCAAATTTACTAAATGGCCTTTTTCTCAGTAATTATGTCATCTGCCTTTACTTTTCTTTCCTCTTGCTTTCTGAATTCATTTATCGCTATCACCTCTGAATCATTAACAAAAAGTTCTACAAAACTACCATCTGCTTTCCCATGGGGTTTATATCTTAAAACAAATTTTCCTCAATTGAATTCAAATTGAATAAAAGCATTGAAACCAAGGATCCCTCGTTAGACAGTTTGTTATTTCAAAGCATTTTCTGTTTACTATGCCTTATTCAGGATATAGTATAATCCCGTGAAGGCAAGTCTGTTTGTTCAAAAGAGTATATAATTGAAAATAGCTGCAGTTCCTAATCTGACTTAAAGTCTCTCGATTTTTTTATTAGAGAAATTTAATTTATTAGAATCATTGTACCATCTGAATCTATTAATGTAATATTTCTTTACGTTGTAAATTAATGGAGTTGAATTGCATTACACATAAGAAATCATCATAATTTAAAATATAAGTCCTAAAGGTCATTCAATAGAAGTTTGCTTTAATTTCTTTTTCTTAAGACCCTTAGAAGAGTAAAAACAGAAGGGACAGAGAGAGGTTGGTCAATAAGTACAAGGTTAACCAGGTGTGGTGGTGCATGCTTGTAATTCCAGCACTCCGGGAGGCTGAGAAAAGATAATTGCAAGTTCAAGCCCAGCCTGGGCAATGTAGCAAGACCTTGTCTCAAAATGAAAAATCCCAAAAGGCCCGGGATGTACTTCAGTGTGAGGGCTCTAGGTTCAATCCACAGTACTGCAAACAAAACAAAAACAGGGGCAAGGTTAAAGTGAAATAGGAGCAGCTGGGGGGATATCCATATATTCTCTCTCTTTTTCTCTTTCTTTCTCTTTTTCTCTTTCTTTCTTTCTCTTTCTTTCTTTCTTTCTTTCTTTCTTTCTTTCTTTCTTTCTTTCTTTCTTTTCTTTCTTTCCTTCTTTCTCTCTTCCAATGGGGTCTCGCTATGTTGCCCAGGCTGGTCTCAAACTCCTGGGCTCAAGTGATTCTCCTACCTTAGCCTCTTGAGTAGCTGGGATACAGGCATGTGTGTCTGTCTTCTTATATTTCTTTTTTAAAGGACACTTTTGTGACCACAGAGGTCTCCTTCCTTCTTCTTGATGGGGGAATAAAATATCTCTGTTGGTTGCAATCATGGAGAAAGATGAACAGATGTGCTTAGGACAAGAGCTGTTTGATATGAAAAACTACTTTTTTTCTCCCATCATTCATTTCTGGATCCTCTTCTCGGATTTTCACTTTTCAGTTCCTTTGTTGAGAGTGGAGAAAGGTGCAAAAGTTTACAAAAAATAGAATCTTCCAACAAATGAAACAGACATCTTCCAGACTATCAGGATGAGGGGTACAATAGAGTGACAACCTCCTTCCTCTCATTTTGTGAGTTGCTTTATCCACCAAATTGATGGAGCCCTATTCCACAAACTTTCCCTTCTGACTTGAAGGAGATGGATCTTTGGCCTGGCTTAGCAATAGTGTCCCACAAGACTATGAAGAACTATAATGTTGATTATTCACCTCTAACCTGGAGCACCACTCCTATATGCAGCATGTATATCCGGATTCTCCTCCCTTTAGGGCATGTCCTCCAACTCTTATAACACCAGAGAGGTTGCAGAGTGACTTTATGCAATGATATGCTGGTAAATATTTAACAACTGGGTCTCCAAGGAGAACAGGCCCTGATTTGTAGCATTTGCCAATTTCTGTGGTGTAAACACTCCTACTGTGGCTCACTTCAGGCTACCAACAAAAGTTGGAGTGGGAAGAAAGGTGTGCTACTATCTGAGAGTATGAGCAAATCCAGCACATTATTGCCTTTGAGAACAGGACTTGGGGTCTTCATTCAGTACTACAAGACTCAGGGACATAGTCATGTGTCCTTTCCATTGGGCTCCTCAGTTATTCCGGCCTTGATCTTCCTGCCAGGCTGACTCTGCTGTCTCACACATTTATATTCTACTCTGGGTCAAGAGAACTCCCCAGTGCTCTTTGTTTGTCTTTCTTCTTGGCTATAATATGTGTTCTGACTTGATCTTAATTTCATTTTTGCTCTGCTCTGATGTCTTTAGAAGAACCTGTTTTTAAAGTCAATTTCATGCACTAGTGTGAAACTGATGGTCCATAGAGTCTGTGTCTTATCCAGAGGATCTCTCTTGTGCCACTATACTAGTGGCAGACAACAAGGATTCCTTATTCTGCAGTGTTGCTAACAGTGTTTCTTTTTTTCACAGTTGACAGGCCTGTCAGAGTGTATGCAGATGGAATATTTGACCTCTTTCATTCAGGTCATGCAAGGGCACTTATGCAAGCAAAAACACTGTTTCCCAACAGCTACTTGTTGGTAGGAGGTAAGAAGCTCATTTTCTCTTTGTCCAGAAAATTCTTTTATAATATACTTCTTGCAAAGGGCCTCTTTCAGAGTTCCCTACGTAAAATTCTACATTGTTAATGCTTCCAACCCAGCCCATACTGACTTACTTGTTCATTGCATGACATTTAAAATGCCATTTAAAAAATTATAGTAGAAATGACATCATGAGATTGTGTACCACTGATGCTCAGGGAGAGACAGACTAATACCACCACCAAAGGTACTGCTTCATGCTTCCCATTAATACCTTTCTCCAGGTATTTGTGGCATGACACAATTTATGTTTCTAAAATTTTCCAGAGAGTCAAGAGAAAAGCTATATTGTTCTAATTCTAAGCCTTGGAGAACTGAAGATGTTTAGGATAATTAAGGACAAACAAGGCCATTGTCTGTTATGGTTTGGATCTGAAATGTCTCCCCAAAGTCTCATGTGTTTAGAAGGCGAATGGATCATGGGGCTCTATACACATTGGTGAATTGGTTCACTGATGGGTTTATAGCTAACATACTGTTAGGTAGGACCTGGTTGGAGGAGGCAGACCACTGGGAGCATGACCAGGAAGGATGTTTCTCTTTCCCTGGCTCCTCCCTTCTCTTGTTTCCTGGCCACCATGTCATGTGCAGCTTTTTGTCTACCACGCCCCTCTGTCATGCCATTTCTGCCCCAAAGCCAGCTGACCACACTGCGAACTGAAACCATGAGCTAAAATAAATCTCTCCTCCTTTAAGTTGCAAGTATTGGATATTTTGTTCCAGGGAAGTGAAAGTGACTGACATTGTTTATTTCCTTTGTGTGACCCATAGCACTTAAAACAGTATTGTGTTAAAAGTAGTGGCTTAAGACAACCTTAATTCATTGAATTTATGTGCAGTGAGTTAAAGAAATGGAGATTTATATAGCCAGGTAGTCTTTTTTTAAAAAAATCATATATATTTATTGTGTATAATCCAATATATTGAAATATGTATACAGTGCGGAAAGGTAAATTAACCTCACATACTTATTTTTTGTACAGGAACATTTGAAATCTATTCTCAGTGATTCTCGAGAATCTAATACACTGTTATTAATTATAGTCACCATATTCTACTCTAGAACTTGTTCCTACCCAACTGAAATTTTGTATCCTTTTTCTAACATCTTCTTAGCCCTCTCACCTTCTAGCATTTGGTAGCCACCATTCTACTTCCTGCATCTATGAGTTCAACATTTAAAATTCCACATATGACTGAGATCATGCAGTATTTGTCTTTCTAGGCCTGGCTTATGCTCAACATAGTGCCTTCCAGGTCTGTCAGTGCCATCACCAATGTCAGGATTTACTTCTTTTTAAAACTGAATCATGTTCTATGGTGTACATATACAATATTTTTTATCCATTTATCTGTTGAAGAACACTTAGGTTGCTTCTATAGCTTAACTTTTGTAAATTATGTTGCCGTGAACATGAAAGTACAGATGTCTCTTCAATACACTGCTTTCATTTCCTTTGAGTATGTACTCAGTAGTGGTATTATTGGATCAGATCATAGTCATGTTTTTAATTTTTAGAGGACCTGCTATAATTTTTTTAAATTTTAATGTAATACAAGTAGATATTAATAAAGAAAATATAAAAGCCATTCTTTGAAAAAATAATTTTTCATAACAAAATAATTAGAGAATAACAATGGTAAATACACTGTGTATCATGATCTTAAAAGAATATATTTTCATTTGCTAATCTATCTCTAAACTCATTTTCTAATAATACTGTACCTTTTTTGCATAAAACATTTTAATTGTTAACAAAGTATCTCATACTCAGTACAATTTTAAACATTTTCTTCCTATTTCACAATATCTATTATGCTTTTTGGTCCTTATTTACACTTTCAGTTTCTCATACCAGAGAGACAATGTGACATTTACACATGTGTGTTCAATTTATTTCACTTAAGAGTATGGCCTTAATGTGCATCCATTTACCTAGAAATGTCTCGGGTTTATCTTTCTTTATAGCTGAATAGTACTCCATTATATATATTTTAAAAACTCCACATCTTTTTTATCCATTCATGAGTTGATGGGCAGTTGGGCTGTTTCCAAGATTTAGCTATTACAAACTGTCCCACTATAAACATGGGTACACATATATCGCTGTGGTATGATGCTTTTAATTCTTTTGGGAAGATAGCCAGCAGGGGAATAGCTGAGTCCAATGGGACCTCTAATCCTAGTTTTTTGAGGAATCTCCACACTGATTTTCACAGTGGATGCACCAGTCTATACTCCCACCAACAGTGGAGAAGGGTTCCTTTTTCCCCACAGCCCTGCCAGCATTTGTTGTTGGTTGATTTCTTGATAATAGCCATTCTTTCTGGAGTGAGGTGGAATCTCAGGATTGTTTTTATTTCCATCTCTCAAATGACTAGTGATGTTGAACATTTTTGTGTGTGTATATTTGCCATTTCTACTTCTTCATCTGAGAAGTATGTATTCATCTCAGATGCCCATTATTGGATTGGGTCTTTAAATTGGGGGAGGGCTGAATTTCTTCAATTCTTTATATGTTCTAGATATTAGTCTTTTGTCTGAGGACACTAGCTAAAATTTTTTCCCACTCTGTAGGTTGTCTTCTCACTCTATTGGTGATTTCTTTTGCTGTGCAAAAGCTTTTTAATAAGGTGAGGTTCCAGTTGTTGATTCTTTGTAGTATTTCCTGTGCAGTCTGGGCTTTGTTCCTCAAGTCCTTACCTACTCCTACGTCCTTAAGTGTTCTACCTATTCTCTCTTCCAGCTGGTTTAGTGTTTCTGTTTTAATGTTTAGATATTTGATCCATTTTAATTTTAGTTTAGTGCATGGTGGGAGACATGGGTCTAGTTTTAGTCTTTGGCATGTAGAAAGCCAGTTTTTCCAGCACCACTTATTAAAGAGGCTATCTTTCTTCCAGTGAATGTGTTTGGCCCCTTTGTCAAAAATAGGGTAGCTGAGTGTGTTTGGGGTTCTTTCTGCATCTTTTAATCTATTCCACTGATCCTCAGGTCTGTTTTATTGCCAGTACCATGCTGTTTTTGTCATAGTAGCTCTGTAGTATAATTTCAAGTCAGGGATTGTGATGCCCCCTGCCTTGCCTTTGTTTCTCAGAATTGATTTTGCTATTCTAGGTCTCTTCTGATTCCAAATGAATTTTAGGAATGACTTCTCTAGTTCTATAAAGTATACTAATGGTATTTTGATTGGGATTGCATTAAATTTGTATAACAATTTTGGGAGAATGGCCATTTTCACTATGTTGGTTCTTTCTACCCACGAGCAAGGGATACCTTTCCATTTTCTGATATTCTCTTCAATCTCCTTTTTCAGAGTACTGTAATTTTCAATGTAAAGATCTTTTACTTCCTTTGTGAGATTGATTCCTAAGTATTTCATTTTTGCGATGCTATTGTGAAAGGTATTGTTTCACTAATTTCTGTCTCAGTGAGTTTGTTATTTGTGTACAAGAATGCTATTGAGTGTTGACTTTGTATCCAACTACACTACTAAATTTGGTTATTAAATCTAGAAGTTTTTTGGTGGAGTTTTTGGGGTCTTCTATGTAAAATATCATGTCATCCGCAAATAATGATAATTTAACTCCTTCCTTTCCTATCATTATCCTTTTTATTTCTTTCTTTTGTCTAATTGCTCTGGTTAATGTTTCCGGAACTATACCGAATAGGAGTGGTGATAGTGGGCGTCTTTGTCTTGTTCCTGATTTTAGAGTGAAAGCGTTTAGTTTTTGACCAGTTAGTATGATGCTAGCTCTTGGTATAGCCAAGTAATCTTGTTTCACAATGAAGGGACCAACTTACTTCCTAAACTTACTGGAAAGGGAAGGATGTGGATTGAAATTTTCTTCCCACAGAAGGTCTACCTATGTCAATATGGGTAAAAGGTAAGGTACCTGACTAGGAGACCTGCATCTTATTTCTGTAGCAGTATATCTATTCACTGTGATCAGTTTTGTTTTTTTTTAGATGAGGTCTCACTATGTAGTGCAGGCTGGCTTTGAACTCACTACATAGCCCAGGTTGCCCTTGAACTCAGCTGCCTCAGCTTCCCGAGTACTGGGATTACAAGCATGCACCACCACACATGGCATTCGCCGTGATCAGTTTTTATGGCACTGTGAGAACTAGATCCCATCAACCCTTAGACTTCTATTGTAAGGGAAAAAAAATGCTGGTAAGAGATGGTGTAACTTTTTTCTTTTCAAGTATTTTATTATCTTCTGCAAATTTAAAGGTGCTTTGTGGATATTGACGAGAAACCCTTCTGCAGATTTTGCTAAGGGTAATGCACAGGGATTTATTGAATGGAATTCTTTCTTTGAGTGGTGAAAGGCATTGGTTTACTAGGCAAGTCCTGCCAAAGGAACCCAAAGCAGGCAGAGAAACCAACCTTTGCTTATTTCTCTTTGCCTCAGTGGAAAACCATTTGTCAAGTGAGCCCACCACCTGCAGTCTGGTCCTAGGCTCCTGGACCATGGGGAGATCTCTGCAGCATTTGGGTTTGGGGCATTTTGGCAACTCAAGGTGGTTTGGTGTGGGTCACAGTTAAAATTTTCTATACCTGTGAAGTTTTCAATTCCCACAGTTGTCCACACTGAGCCACAGTTTGTCAATTTAAGTTTTTATGCCTGGCACTGGTTCCTTCAGAGTTTTAGTGACAGGAAACTGTGATTCTCTTTGCCTCTCTACCTGTGTCTCTAATTTGGGTGGCATCAGTTTGCCCTGTGACCTCATTTCTCTGTTTCTGAAGAGTTGTTGATTTTTCAGTTTCTTCTCCTTTTTACTTCTCGTTGGAATGGAATGGTGATGTCTAAGCTCATTACATGTCCGACCAGAAACCAGAAGTCCAATATTGGCATTTTAAAACAAAATAGTTACCTAATTACTTAAATATACCTGGTGGCGTCTGAAAACTATAACATTTTGAAATGTACCATCATACA